GGTGGACAGTCTTCTGGGAGGGAGAAGCGACAGCTGGAGGAGCATGTGCGAAGACTGACGTTTGGGGCACTCCGGCGAGCATTATGCAGCCCGTGTACACGAAGGTGCGGTCCCAAGGCCGCCGAGTGTTGCACATGTAGAGGAAGGGGGCGAGGAACTGACACGGGCACAGCATGTGATACAGGTACTTCGCACCGAGCTGCAGGACATGAGACAGCAGCTCCAGAATGAGCGCTGTCGGAATGAAGGCACCCTTGACGAGGCCATCCAGCAACGCAATGGGCTCCAGGGAGTGAACACGTCGCTCCGCGAGGAGCTCGAGGGTCTCAAGGAGATGTGTTGCTCCCAGAACAGAACTATTGATGAGCTTCGTGATACTCTGCTGCAGCGGGCACCTGTGACGCACCATGAGCACTACGCTCTCGTTCGACGGTGTGAGAAGCTGAAGGAGGAAATAGAAAGGTGCCAAACACGAGGGGGTGATTCCGTCAACAAAGCCCATGAGCTTGAAAAGCAGGCAATACAACAGCAGCTGCTTGTGCTACGAGCCGATGGGGAAGAGACGAACACACTTTTACTCAAAACACGTGCCGACGTGGCTGACATGCGAGAATACATCAGCACACTGGAAACAGAGCTTGATCTCACCCGAAAGGCCAAAACACTTCTTGAGGAGGAACTCACTGCTGCAAAGGAAAAACTTCAATACGCCACGGAGCAAAGCAAGGAGGCTGAGCAAGTCATCGTAAACTTCAATAGAAGGCTTCAGGACCAGTTCTCGACAATTCAGGTGCAGAAAGCACAGCTAGACCTCCTGCAACAAGAAGCAACAAGAGCATCTGTGGCAATCACACCGTCCAAAGCAGCGCCTGTTGAAAGTCGCCCGGAAGGAGGAAATGGAGACAAGGAAACAAAAAATGGAATGCCCCCCGAAACGCCAGGCGTAGCAGAAACAACCATGGCGACGCAACACAAGGAGGCACAGGCTGTACGAGAAACCGTTCAAGCGGTGCCAGAGGAAAACGTCAAATCACAGGTCGAAGACAGGGGAAAAACGCACAAAACAGAAGGTGAAGTACCCCAATTTCCGCAACAGCTGTCGGCGGCGCATGCAGCGATTGACCAGCTGTCCGCCGAGCGCAGCGCACAGGCAGAACATGTGGCGGAGCTGACGGCAGCCGTTGCCCGTCTGGAGAGCAGTGCGGATGCCCCTGAGCGTGTGGTGGAGGCGCTTAGCGCGGAGCTGCGTGAGACACAGGACCGCCTCCGCCAGGCCGAGGAAGAAGCCAGCCAGCTTGCTCAGAGAATTGGCAGCTCGGAGGGACTTCGTGAGTCTGCTGTTGCGACTCGGTCCGCCGAAACCTCGCTTGCAGCGCAGTTGTCGTCTGCGCTGAAAACACTGGAGCAGCTTGCTGAGGAGCGTGAGACCTTGGCTCGGGGCTCCGCTGAGCTCGAGAAACGTGTGAGGGAGCTTGAGCAGGAACTGCGGGACGCACAGACCGCACATGACGTGGATTCGTCTGATGGGCTCACCTTGCGGGAGCAACTGGCGGCGGCGCATGCAGCGATTGACCAGCTGTCCGCCGAGCGCAGCGCACAGGCAGAACGTGTGGCGGAGCTGACGGCAGCCGTTGCCCGTCTGGAGAGCAGTGCGGATGCCCCTGAGCGTGTGGTGGAGGCGCTTAGCGCGGAGCTGCGTGAGACACAGGACCGCCTCCGCCAGGCCGAGGAAGAAGCCAGCCAGCTTGCTCAGAGAATTGGCAGCTCGGAGGGACTTCGTGAGTCCGCTGTTGCGACTCGGTCCGCCGAAACCTCGCTTGCAGTACGGCTGTCGTCTGCGCTGAAGGCACTGGAGCAGCTTGCTGAGGAGCGTGAGACCTTGGCTCGGGGCTCCGCTGAGCTCGAGAAACGTGTGAGGGAGCTTGAGCAGGAACTGCGGGACGCACAGACCGCACATGACGTGGATTCGTCTGATGGGCTCACCTTGCGGGAGCAACTGGCGGCGGCGCATGCAGCGATTGACCAGCTGTCCGCCGAGCGCAGCGCACAGGCAGAACGTGTGGCGGAGCTGACGGCAGCCGTTGCCCGTCTGGAGAGCAGTGCGGATGCCCCTGAGCGTGTGGTGGAGGCGCTTAGCGCGGAGCTGCGTGAGACACAGGACCGCCTCCGCCAGGCCGAGGAAGAAGCCAGCCAGCTTGCTCAGAGAATTGGCAGCTCGGAGGGACTTCGTGAGTCCGCTGTTGCGACTCGGTCCGCCGAAACCTCGCTTGCAGTACGGCTGTCGTCTGCGCTGAAGGCACTGGAGCAGCTTGCTGAGGAGCGTGAGACCTTGGCTCGGGGCTCCGCTGAGCTCGAGAAACGTGTGAGGGAGCTTGAGCAGGAACTGCGGGACGCACAGACCGCACATGACGTGGATTCGTCTGATGGGCTCACCTTGCGGGAGCAACTGGCGGCGGCGCATGCAGCGATTGACCAGCTGTCCGCCGAGCGCAGCGCACAGGCAGAACATGTGGCGGAGCTGACGGCAGCCGTTGCCCGTCTGGAGAGCAGTGCGGATGCCCCTGAGCGTGTGGTGGAGGCGCTTAGCGCGGAGCTGCGTGAGACACAGGACCGCCTCCGCCAGGCCGAGGAAGAAGCCAGCCAGCTTGCTCAGAGAATTGGCAGCTCGGAGGGACTTCGTGAGTCTGCTGTTGCGACTCGGTCCGCCGAAACCTCGCTTGCAGTACGGCTGTCGTCTGCGCTGAAAACACT